GCCACCTTAGGTGTACGTGGCTGGCGCCTTAGCCGGTTGAGCTATAGGCGCCGAGCCGGGAACAAGAATTTTAACTGACTTTAGCATTTCTTCACTTAATCCTATTTGCAGTCACTAAATTTATCAAGGCAGTGACCATGTCCAATTAGTTCTGCTTTTTAAATACTAATAGCAAAGACTCAATGTGTCTTAAATGTAGACATTATAAGATTTATAACACTTACATTTGCACCTTAAATCTTGAGAGTGAAAAGGTTGCATATTACTGTATTAATATGTTCAGAAATTTTCTTACCAACAGGTTCTGAAAGTTCCATGCTAACAGCTGAATTTGAACCTAAACAAGAGATTGAGATATAATATATATTTTTACAAAACAATGTCTAGCTCTACACACCACAGACAACTTAGTATTTTCTCAATTAGTCTTTCAAAGAGGATATCATAAAAAATTACCTTCACACAATGACTGTTCCTCTTGAGAGGACTCCACAGGTGCTGTTTAATAGAAATAAATTCTATTAAAAATTGAGACTCATATCCATTTCACTTATCTTTTAATATACAATAAAAACAGAAATTCAATAACAATGCAAACCTCAGTAATTCAGACCAACAGCAGCTAACTCAGATCTTCAAATTAGAGGTCTCTGTTGAACCTACTTTTGCAAAGTTCTACCAGTTATAGTCAATTTAAAACATTTTCAGTAACTGAAATGTATTCATATTAATAAAAGTCTAATTAGGATGGTGCCTGTGGCTCAGTGGGTAGGGCGCCGGCCCTATATACTGAGAGTGGCGAGTTCTAACCTGGCCCTGGCCAAACTGCAACAACAACAACAAAAAATAGCTAAGCTTTGTGGTGGGCGCCTATAGTCTCAGCTACTTAGGAGGCTGAGGCAAGAGAATCGCCTAAGCCCAAGGGTTGGAGGTTTCTGTGAGCTGTGATGCTACAGCACTCTACTGACGGCAATAAAGTAAGACTCTGTCTTTAAAAAAAGAAAAAAAGCCTAATTATTCTCTTGATTTGCAGGATAAACCTTTTGATAGATACTGTAAAAGTAATCTACAGCCCAGATCAAATTAGTGAGATTTGCTCAAGGAGTATTCATCAACTTTTTATTTATGAAATTAAAAAAAATTCTTTTTTTTTATTTTTCAACTTCTACTGGCTTTCACTTTATCTTAGTTTTTTTAAAGTTTTCTTTTTTAATTTTTTTTTCTTTCTTCCTCCTTTAGTGATTCTCTTGCCCTCCTCTCCCCCATGTAGCTGGGATTACAGTGCTTGCCAAAATGTTTGGCTTTTTTTTTTTTTGTAGAGATGGGGTCTCACTCTGGCTCACTCTGCCTCATGCTGGTCTTCTACTAGTCTTGAAATCGGTTGAGCTCAGGCAATCCACCCACCTAGCCCTCCCACAGCACTGGGACAACAGGTTCATGGACTTTTAAAATTCCCTCTTGGTAATAACCTTTTAGCTCCAAAAGACTGTGATTAGTTCTTTTTAAAATTCCCTAGTCATGGCTCGGCGCCTGTGGCTCAAGTGGCTAAGGCGCCAGCCACATACACCTAAGGTGGCAGGTTTGAATCCAGCCTGGGCCGCCAAACAACAATGGCTGCAACCAAAAATAGCTGGGCGTTGTGGCAGACGCCTGTGGTCCCAGCTACTTGGGAGGCTGAGGCAGGAGACTCGCTTGAGCCCAGGAGTTGGAGGTTGCTGTGAGCTGTGATGCCTCAGCACTCTACCCAGGGGGTAGCTTGAGGCTCTGTCTCAAAAAAAATTCCTGAGTCATATGTTATCAAGATCCCTGAATAAATTAAATTTGATACCAACAAGATAAACAGTATTTGTATAAAGTCCTGAAACCCATTAAACATTGGCAGAATTGGTGATTCCAGTAATGTCAGTTTTGTCCTATACTACACCTCTAAGAGAAAGCAAAAATCCAGCTTCCACTGTTGTCATACTGCCAATTTACTAATGACATCACTGGAAGAGATGTTAAGAGAAGCACATAAAACACTCAAAAATATAAATGTTAAAATTTTATGTCTGATACACCTAAATGATACTCCAATATGAAAGTGCCCCGGCTTCTTGTACATCCAAGATACAAAAAGATACCAAAAGGTTTAAAGTTGGCCAGGCATGGTGGCTCACACCTGTAATCCTAGCTCTCTGGGAGGCCAAGGTGAGCGGATAGCTTGAGCTCATGGGTTTGAGACCAGCCTGAGCAAAACTGAGACCCCATCTCTACTAAAAATAGAAAAAAACTGAGGCAAGAGGATTGCCTGAGCCCAAGAACTGGAGGTTGCTGTTAGCTATGATGCCATAGCACTCTATCCAGGGCAACAGCTTGAGACTCTGACTCAAAAAAAAAAAAGTTTAAAGTCATGTGAATCATGCAAGCAAGTAATAAGAATAATGAATTCATAACCTACAAAACTAACTTAAAATCACTGCCCAGAAAGTATTAATACCTGTGAGAGTCAAAAGAGGGTGTTTTAGGCCCAATCTTCAACAGCATCAAGGGTTAAGGAAAATAATTTCCTGTCCCTGATGGGTGAAGGGTAAGCAGGGTATTTTTTTGAAAGGGACATGCTCAGATCGTCACTTAGGAATATCATTTTTATGGCAGTGTATAGATCAACTAGAGTGAGAAAGACACGCAGGCAAGAAGACCAGCATCACCACTGCAAGAAAGCATGCCATTAGAACCACCTCGCAGTACAACTGAGGTGGGGGGAGTGACACAAAGATACAAGCAACATGTGACAGGAGGAGGAGAAAAGGACAGTGAAGGTCTGATGACCCCAACCACTGTGAAGAGTTGGACATGAACAAAAACTTGGTGGGAGGGGATCATTTGAACTGAGTTTCAAAAGTGACAGAAACACTTTCTCCAGTATGTTCTCTGGACGCAATATAAATTAACCTTTTGTTGCTTTTTTATTTTGTAACGGTAAGGTAAGGAAAAATTATTCAATTTTCAGAAAAAGCCCAGACAGCGCTAAGTTAATCGATTCATAAAACACCTTAGGAAGGAGCAGGCAGCACAGGGTAGTGGTGAGGGCCTAGAATTGAGCCTGTCACAAGTTGTGAAATGTAGTTATTTTATTAGAATCATGCGAATGATGTACCATCTACCTGATGGGATTGCTGAGAGGATTGAGTGTTTAACAAATTAAACATCTGGCTCAGTGCCTGTAGCTCAGTGGCTAGGGCACCTGCCACATACACTGGAGCTGGTGGGTTCAAACCCAGCCCAGGCCTGCCAAACAATGATAATTACAACCCCCCCCCAAAAAAAAAACCTGAATGTATGTCCCAAGCATGGTTTTCTGTTTGGCTCGGTGCCCATAGCACAATGGTTACTGGCTACAGCACCAGCCACATACGCCAAGGGTGATGGGTTCAAACCCAGCCCAGACCAGCTAAACAACAATGACAACTGCTACAAAAAATAGCCAGGCTTTGTGGCAGGTACCTGTAGTCCTAACTACTACTTGGGAGGCTGAGGCAAGAGAATTGCTTAAGCCTAGGAGGCTGCTGTGAGCTATGACGTTACAGCACTCTACCCAAGGCAACAAAGTGAGACTCTGTCTCAAAAAAAATTCCTGAGTCATATGTTATCAAGATCCCTGAATAAATTAAATTTGATACCAACAAGATAAACAGTATTTGTATAAAGTCCTGAAACCCATTAAACATTGGCAGAATTGGTGATTCCAGTAATGTCAGTTTTGTCCTATACTACACCTCTAAGAGAAAGCAAAAATCCAGCTTCCACTGTTGTCATACTGCCAATTTACTAATGACATCACTGGAAGAGATGTTAAGAGAAGCACATAAAACACTCAAAAATATAAATGTTAAAATTTTATGTCTGATACACCTAAATGATACTCCAATATGAAAGTGCCCCGGCTTCTTGTACATCCAAGATACAAAAAGATACCAAAAGGTTTAAAGTTGGCCAGGCATGGTGGCTCACACCTGTAATCCTAGCTC